ATCTCGCTGAGCATAATCCACGTGCTCCACAGCGTATGCAGTAACAAAATGATCAAGTACCGGCTGGTATCGTGCACGATCACAGTTGTGCAATAACCCAGCAGCACAGAACAACTTTACAAACTCTCCCTGAAATGTTTCGTGAAGTACTTTGACTTCTGCGGCAACTCGCTTCTTTTCTCTATCCAACAAGCCATTAGTCGGATGATTGTTTTTAATTTCATGATATGCGGTAAGTCTTTGAGGCAAACACATCCAGCCACAAATCACCCATGAAATATAATACTGTAGTTGCGCATTCTTCAAATTGTTTATGGTCCTCAATCACCGTGTCATTTCCTTTCTGACGACAATTAACCCACTTCTGTAGTGCTTCCCACAATGTAATGGGTTCCCATCACTGGTCGTCATGAATTTATTGATGCGTCTCAATAATTCAATAGGATCACCATCAATTTTCTCATTGTGATCAACCTCCTGTAGAATCTTGTTCTTCATTTTACTGGTAACAAATGACTCCATAATCAGCAAATGGACATGCCACTTCGCTTTGCTCCAGTATCGCTTTTGTCAATGGTATTTGTCACTCTCCGTTTTCTATTCTTCTTTCTTTGCCTCTTTCTCAATTTTGTCTTCTTGACCAGTTAAATCCAATTTAGGTTTCAAACCATCCCAGTCTGGCTCATTCAATTCTTTGATGGAAGATATCATAATCTGAGGATTCTTGTTACATTGGCATAAGTAAAATCTGGGTCGCTCAGATGATACTTGGGCGATATTTTTTCGTTCTTTTTTGTATTCTGTGAATTGCCACTTGTCTGGCGATTTCCATCTAATCGATTGCCGCCATAAACTCCCCTTGTTCTGGTTGTGGCGTGTCATTGTCTCTTTTATAAACTTTCTCACTATCGATTGAGTGTCAGATGGACTTGCTCGTCAGACCTGAATGGGAGCCTCAACGCCCTGTCTCTTTCAATGAGCAGTCCCTGAGATCGAATCTACGTCAGCTATGGTCTGCATTTGGGCACCAGCGACTTTGGGCCTTAGTCTCTGGAATAAGCAGTAGTCTTATTCAATCAAAGGTCTTATTTTAATGGGAGCCTCAACGTTCTGTCTGTTTCAATGAGCAGTCCCTGAGATCAAATCTACTTCGGCTTTGGTCTGCCTTTGGGCACCAGCGACTCTGGGCCTCAGCCTCTGGAATAAGCAGTAGTCTTATTCAATCAAAGGTCTTATTTTATTGTCTCCTATACTTGCTTGGACCTCAACGTCCACAATACTATTCTTGCCAGAACCCAATTGATAGTGAGACTCTCGATTAAAGTTCAAAATCATCTTATAAATTCTCACTATTCTCATTTTTTATCACTTTTCTACGTGATGACGCGTTCTGACATACTGCATTACATATTACGCACGATTGACACTCACGTCATTGCCGCGTCACGTCACATAGACCATTGATCAATAATCAACCAACATGATTGCTCAATATATCAATACGTCCAACAAAAAACAATCTATCAATCCTTTGGCCACCCTGTCACCGATACCACCACCCCGGTATATCAGGTGACTTGCCTGGAGGATTTGGAGCCTAAGGATCGACAAATGGAAGAGTTGGAGCAACTATTCGACAAGTGGAACAATCCCCACTGACTACAGCCCAGCGGTTGAGAAATGGAGAAACATTGTCTCCTGGTTTTGCCCTTTTGGTCAGGAAGGGTGAAGATGGAGAGCCATGTCACATTATGTTCATTTCCAATCCGGTCTTGACCACACCGGATATATTGGAACCCAATACGTGTGGAGCTCTGGCTCCCCTTGGGGAAATTGTCGCCAATGATCTTGCGCGCCAGTATATTAGCGATCCCACAAAACAGACCCATTTTCTGTTGGGATCAATGTGCAGACATACTTTTGCGTCTCCTTTGACGGGCAATCAAATTGAATTTGCCAAAGCTCTTCTTCCTGTTTTGATGACAGATGGAGATGCAATTGGTAATAAACTATGCAATTGCGAGGCTTGGAAAATTCTTTTCTTTCCAACCATGTCTGCTTGTCCTGTGGGTTTTGTTTGGCCAGCGAGTGGCGGTTTTGATGAGTTTCAGAATAGTATTGTTAATCAGAAAAAGGTATTCTGGGGTCTTCTTCATCTGTTGAAGACACGGAAGCCAATTATTGAATCTTGGTTCACGGCCATGAAAGATAGTCCTGCAAGTTTTGCTGTCCTGTTGTGGACGCTATGCCGCTCTGGTATTCCTTCCAAAGGAGGATCTTGACGATGATCAAGTCTTGGATAAGGCTTTACTCGCCCCATTCCAAGAACAAATGGATCGTTTTCTCAGAAGCCATCTTATGCAGATCATTTATCGCAGTGCCTCTTTGCCAACGTCGCCTCTTGGATTCAAGATGTGTGCTTGTGTCAAGATGCACAACATGCATGTGTCGGATTCCTTTCCTGAAGCCTTGGGTATAACTTCACCTGCTGAATGTCAAGCCTTTGTCAACTACCTCTTCCCATATGAAGATGAAGAAAGGTCATGGGATGGCCGTGTATCTAAATGGTACAAGTTGCTGGACTTAGATCCTGGAAGCGAGGTTCCAGCATTATACTTGCAATATACACTGTGACCACTCCCATCCTCTGCTCAAGATCCAGAAGGATATGTTGCCCAACGGTTGCCATTGCCTAGTACAACGCCTGTTGTTCCGCCTGTGGACAATGACATGGCGGAGTTCATTCAGGCAGCCAAGCACCACAAGCCTAGCTCACGTCAAGCAACAGTTTGTGCACCAATACCAGCTCCTGGAGATTTGCTCGTACTTACAGAAGATGGCCATTTTGAAGATGGGCACGGAACTAATTTTGAGCCACCTGAAGATCATGCTACGACCCAGCTGCCAGCGGTGACACCATCTCCTTTGCAAACTCGTCACATGAATGTCAATCATCCAGATTCCAATTGGTTCCAAGATGCCACAGGAGGTAATCCGTTTGCTGGTGGTATGAACAGGACAAACATACCACTCCAGTCGCCAGCCCAAGGTATGCCTCCTAATGGAATCCACAATTCAACATGAAATTCTCCATTCCAACAAGGTCCATGCGTCCAAATTGATCCTACCCCTTGGGGTCCGTCCCCGTTTGCTGGACGTAACACAGGATTGCCTGCGCCTGGGTTGCCAACACCGATGCAGCATCAACAGATGTTCCCAACATGTACTCTGCTTTGCATCACAAACTATCTTACCCCGCAGGGTACAAAGGTGCAATGTATCCGATGGGATATTATCCGGCCCATCCCGGATTCACCACATTCAAGCCAAATTTGCGGTCCAATAATAATAACTGAGACATTAATCGTTAGGATGCTACTCTATGGGCATTCCATTGCCGGTGAAATATTAGGCTGTAAAGGTCAAGTACTGTGGAGCGGTGAGTCAACAACAAGTTTGAACCATGGGAGGCATCTGTACCTAAACAGAAGTTGCTCAAGTCATGTTGTTAAGAATGACTTCTCCCGCAGCGAGGCGGGGTGAATTTGGGGCGCTTATTGTCCCACGAACGGTGGGAAGCGTTCAGGAGGGGGGAGCAGAGAAGATAGTCCGGAGGCTATGGCGTTGAGCCCGCAGAGAGCGACGATAGTCCTTGCGCTCCTGTCAAAGTAGCTTCAGCCATTCTTCCTTGTCCACCAGTGACTTACGGAGGACGCTGTGACGGCATGTCAGCATGCGTCTAATATCCGGAGGTAAATCAGCTGAACCCATATCAAACTGAGAGTGAATCCCCTCGTTGACAACACAGTGACGTTCACGGAGCTGAACATTGTCATCCGAATGTTGAACGGCGTTCCGTTGTTCCCACATATAGAACCCAATGGAGATGAGTTGCTGGGAGAGACGGGAGGCCCACAGAGAAACCGACCGACGACTGTGAATCTCGTCAAAATAATTTTGTTGCAGAGACAGCCACAAGGAGGCTAGTCTGCCTTCCAAAAGTCCCTGACACCCAATAGCTTCCTGTGCCAGAAAGGCCGGGCGAATGGTCCGAGAGATCAAACGAGAGGTGGGACGTGATGAATCGCGAACACCCTGAAGCAGAAGGAGTATCGCATGTTTGATGGCGGGGGAGGTAAGATGTATATCCATCCAGAGCGAGAGAGCGGTCACCCTCCGATCCCATTCGTCCCTAGCCGAGGCTGCTGGGCAACGGGGAACATGCAAGTGATCTTCAAACTCGCCGCACCGAGGGCACGCAGCGGACGATTCGAGGCCCCAATACACTTTGAACTTCCCCGTGCCGCACATGCCCACCCAATGTTTTGTAATCCAGCGCTGGAGACCGGCAGGTAGTGACCGCATGGCGCGACCCAGTGTCTCCCAGTCAATAAGGTTTTCAGACTCCTCAGAGATCACATTACGGTTCCTCCATTGTTGCCGCAGGCGGGGGAGTGTCACGCACTCCTGAATGAAGTGGTCACTCAGCCGAGACTGCTTTGTGTCAGCCACAAAAAGAGCTGCCAGTTCCGTGAAGAACCGAGGGTTGGGGGGGATAAGTTGGTGGGCCGCCTCTAGTTCCTTGCGGAAATCCACTGCCATGCCATCCACCTCCAGGTTTTTCTTTTCCCACCAAGTGAGTTCATCAAATAAGTTGGACTTGTCCAAATGTCCGTAGACATGCCGTGGAGACCAAGACACCAGAGACCGAGAGATGGCTTCCCGGATGGAAGAGATCAGGTCAAATTGTGCATCAGTGGGTGAAAGGGGTCGATCTTCAAAGGCCATTTCAATGGCCGAAAGGCCGTCGCAGGCGATCTTGACACCCGGCCGCTGGCTAAGGGCTGGGAACCATTGTTGGAGGAGCCAGTCAACCGCCATAATCCCAGCCAGAAGGCCAATCAACTCGCCCCGATGGGCACTCTGATCCTGAGGTAGGCCTGGAGTTTGACAACGGATGACAATGCGAGCAGTTCCCGCTCTGGGAAGGAGCTGAACAGCAGCAGTTCCCACCCTAACCCTAACTGTATTCTGAGGCGGCCCTGGATCAGGGCATTGGCCAAGGCGGCCTCATCACCATGTACCTCAATTTCATCATGGACCCACCCATAGTAGTCTGTGCAGAGGTCAACAGAGGTTTGCCAGGCGGTGAGGATGGAGGGGGTCGGGTCAGAGGGAGGCAAGGTTGGGAGACCTGTACCAGTGAGGAGCACCCAGTCGCTACGGGAGAGGGGCCTCACTGTGGTACGCAGGACGTCAGAAGGCAAAGGGCAAGTCCACCAAGAACTTGGTCGTTGTAGGCTATCTGTCCCACTGTGACTGCCAGATGGAGCATAGCGCCGAGAAGTTGTAGAGGAACCTACCAGAGCAAGATGGGTCCATGCAGCCCTGAAACAACCCAACAGTCGGCGACCAGAGCCAGTTCCAAGACTCAAAGTGGTCGTGCCAATGTCCCAGGGGTTGGAGCAGAGGGTGGTGCTGACCATGTGAAGGCAAGAGCGCGCGGGACAGTGTTCGTTGCCAGAGTTCCCAATATGGACGCCCGGGTCGTACCGTTTGAGGCCAGTTATATGGAGTCCAATAAGTGTCGTCGCGGAAACCGTTCCAGATGCATTGCCGGATATAGCGGCCATCAGCCGTAGTGATATCTGATACTGTGGCTACTTGCAGGAACATCCGGCACCAGTTAAGCCAGAGAAGGTCGTCCTGATCAACCTCAAGATCCATGAACAAGTCAATCAGGAGGGCGTCATGATGACACCTTAAAGATAGGGCCGGAGAGTCAAAGGCCATGTACATATCCAGAGATTCAAGTTCCTTCCATACCCGTTTAAGCCAGGTATCAGAAGCAAGAATGGATGTATTCTGGTAATCTTGCTGTAGAAGACCAAAGGAGGTACCGGTTTCCAGTTGGTGAGCCTGGAGATTGGCGTCCATGTAGGCTCCAGTCTTTGTACCCCCCGACATATGGCGCAGGATCATCTCCAAGTGTTTGTACACTTGCTTGCCAAAGGGGTGAGGAACACCAAGGCCTTGATAATCCACCGGGGCAAAAACCACCAAACGGGGAAAGTTGCGGCAAACACCTGACCTAGGTAAGCACACCTGGAGAACTGGTGACATGATGTCCCGCCATTGTTGAGCGTTGAGGGTAGTGAGTGCCATAGGATATTCAAGCTTCTTAGGATTGTGGTCCAGATAAAGGGTAACACGTCGTACTTTGTGTAGCAGGTGAGGCCGAAGCTGTTCGGCCCACTCTTTAGCTTTAGAGACCAACTGTGCCTCCTGTGCGTTGTGATTTTCCAGTGACAACAACATCACCCCCAGAGTACGTTTGGAATGACCTGGTTCAAGGCGGCGAAGGGGTTCAATGTCACCGTATAACCCCGGTATCTTAAGGTTGAATTCCAGTACCGCGGAGCATTTCCTACGGAATCTCCACTGACCATTGCGAGCATCCCATTCAAAGTCAATAAGCCACCGGATTGATTGCACCACCTGTTGCCCGAATTACCCCCGACCACAAGGTGGCAGCAGCCTGGACTGAGGCGCAAATATCCTCCCCAGAGTGATGGACCGTGCCACCTGCTTCAATCACGTCCGTATCGTCAACAAAACAGAAACATTGGGCTGTCACTAGTTGTGACTCTAACGCCGAAAGACACTCAAATCCATAGCCCATTGCTTCCATCATTGTGATTAACACTGAGCTCACCGAGATCTAAATGGGGGGTCCGGCACCATTCCCTTGCCCACAACCTTGGAGTGGCACCGCTGACGGAGGGCAAAAGCTTCTCTTGGAGTCACCAAAACCTGTGCAAACATGGTGGGTAGCGGAGGAGAGCATGTTGAACATCGATGATAGGACACGCCATGTCAAGCCAAACCGCAACATTGTGACGATGGCCACCCAGTGGACAACATGGTCAAAGCAGGACTTGGCATCATTCGAGATCCACCCCGCTTCGCGGCGTTGAAATATCAGTAGATCCCACACTAATCGTTTAGACAAGGCCAGGTCAATTGCTTGATGACTTTTGCGTGAGCCGCATTGCCCGTCGGGTATCAAGGAGTGCGCTTTGGCAAATTGCATGGCTGCACGGCCCGCCTTCTTATTGTTTGCCTGGGCCTCGGAATTCATCAGCTGGATGGTGCGCATTTTAGATAGGCGGAAGTCTCCTGGCTTCTTTTCAATGGCAAAGTTCATCAGATTTTGCCATTGAAGAGGAACAAACCCTGTGGTGAGAAGAATGTTCCGGAAGAGGGCATCACAGTACGCTATAGATGGAGACTGGATAGCCGCCTTAAAGTGTCCTTTATGTAGTCCATGAGATCAGATCGCATACTTCAGACTTTTGGTGCTTGGAGCATTGAGTATGTGCATTGCACTTCTCGCTTCCATCACAGCCTTGACTTGTCTTGGAGTGAATCCTTCCTTGTTCTTTCGAACGGTTGCCATCTTGGAGGTCATCTCAAGTCCAGCATATCCATTCTGTTTGTTTGAAGAAAGTTTGAAATGGGGTTGATTATTTAAGTTGCTAAACTGGCGACGGTACATCGAACTTGTCTCTCTGGCACCTGGTTTGACAGTCGCTCCAAGTTGCTCCAACACATACACACCCTTACGATTCACAAATCGCATCTTTCCATTTCCATCACAATGCACAATAAAAGCATTGTCAGCATCAGTATCCATAGTAATGCGTTATCCCGCAGCAATCATCTCGCGCATAGCAAGTACATTGGCAACTCCATCTTCATCATGATAAACTGGAGGGGGAAATCTTCCTAGAAAACCTTCTTTCTCGAGAACTCTGCTGCCCACGTTAGTGTGCATGTCAAGTTCTTTCTCAGAATGACGGAGTCCATGCATAAGCTCACCATTACAAATGGTGGTGTTTGTACAACCACTGTCCATGATGACATGATCGTACAGCCCAAATGGATCTCTTTCCTTTCTGCGGCTTTGAATAAACTGCAGACCTCGATCTGCTTCAGTAGCAAGATCAGGCAATTCTTCATCTTCACTAGCATAGTGCCAGTCAGCTTGAAGTTTGACTTTTGTTGTACCAGCAGGACATGGAATAAGATAGACATCATTGCCATTCTCATCTTTTCCCTTGATAGCATTGTGAAAGACATTTGACGTATCAAAATATCCAGTTTTCACAATCTGCGGAGTTTGAGCTTGAGTTGCATCGAATCCTTGGCGCACTTGAGCACCACTGAATCCTTGATGGCCGAGTTGCATTCCACTGAACGCAATCTCACAGTTAGCATTCATAGAATAAGGGACAGTAACAGTGCCGCCAGCTTGAGTTGGAATCTGCATGAGCTGCATTCCAGAAGGAACTTGCATCATTTGATTACCTGTAGTACCAGCAAGTCGCAAAGGTGTGTTAACGCTTCCCGCAACACTTGATGCTCCACTTGTGGATGATGAAGCTCCAGGAACTATAGCTGGAGCAGTAGCTGGGACAGTTGCTCCAATCTGATTAAGATTGAGCTTCTTCCCATAGTCGACATATTGATCCTGATTCTTCCATTGGATCTTTGGTAACAGTCTGTCTGGGCATTTTGGAGACATATGGTCTTTGTTGCCACACTCACATAACATGCTGCCTTTGTTCCATCCTTCGGTTTCCCCTTTCCTTTTCCTTTACCTTTACCTTTATTAGGTTGGTCCTTTCCTTGGTAGAGGTTCACTCCCGGATTTTTACTCACTTCCATGTGAATCTTCAACATATCTTGGGCTTTGATTCAACCTCTACGACAATTCTGTGTTGAATGCAGTACTTCGGGACATCTTGTAATATTCCCTACTGCATTGTACACAACACCAATATCTCACTTGTATAGGGTCATTCCCTTTTTGTGTGGATGTAGATTGTCCGACAGACTTGCGTCCGGCATACTTGCGTCAAATTCCAACATCACGATCAAAGTCCGATCGTACGTGTCGAAAACTTTGTACTTGATTAGTTTCTTTTTGGAATGTAAAAACTCATATTTCGTCATATCCCAACAATAAGGGTGAGGGTAGCATCTTTGACCTGACCGTAAGCCTTCACACTGATCAATCCCTGTTGAGCAGACTTCCAATCACTGTTTAAATGTAGCCGGAGCAGCAAAGGGGAAGTCTGGCTTTGCTGTGGATGGATTAAGAAGGCTTCTTAATTCTTGGTCCACTCTTTTGGCATGAATCTTGTGAGCATACCCATGAGGACTTGTTACACTGGGGGAACGTTTGTTGAATTTAGCACGTCCTGTGTAAGGTGTAGAAACCCAATTCATCTTGATTCCAATAGGGATAGAGAAGTCAAAGTGACGCATGATTTCTTTCGCATAGGCTTCAAAGTTAACCTCTGACGGAATGAAGGCAAAGCAACCCAATTTAACAATATCCCCATATTGAAGCGACAAAGGGTAACATCCTGGGAACGGAGACCAGTGTGAAGATAGTCCTGTACCGCCTCTTCCGACGTGTCCCTTGCAAAGCCGACCCACATTCGGGTACATAGTTTCTTCTCACCAGACTTGCTGTTGGTTGCTGCATAAGGAGAATTCCCATATTCCATATCGCAGTAAAGACTCAGGGCCCGGTAGGACAAAATTTTGTTGCGTAACTCAACCGAGTTCCGGATCCACCGGTTCTGTTGTTTATAAGTGTCGTCTTCTGACCTCACCAGTGCTTCTACAGATTCTGTCATGACAGCACCACTTTCCAAATTTGCGGTCCAAATATAACCCTGTGCGGACTGCCAGTATTAATTCCAACATGGAGCACGAATGTTGCCCCCCGGAATTGAAGGCAATTGTATATTGGTTGTTGCATCCAGTCCCTCCTACAGTAAGGATGGTGCAAACATCTCTGGGTGATCGAATGGCATCTGACATTTTCAAATTTGGACTACCACCAGAAATTGGGTGTATATATCTGGAAGGTTTTGATTACAAAAATGATGGCAACATGGCTGCAAATATTGTTTGTACAGCTATTGAATACCAAACCAAATACCAAATTGGAACATTCTTGCCTCAAGCGGAGTTTTGATATTCTACATGGTGGGAACGTCCAAACGGTTTTCATTGCTGGCATTCCTACCCTGTACTTTGGAAGACTTTTCTTCTGATTACCTACAACACCACGGATTAAGTTGGCAGCAGATGAAAGAATTTGCAATGGCATTCCTACCCTGTATTTTGGAAGACTTTTCTTCTGATTACCTACCACACAACGGATTAAGTTGGCAGCAGATGAAAGAATTTGCAATGGTAATATACTACCATTTTGCACTCTTGGGCTCTACAAACCCAACTTCAGACAACGGAGATTACAATGATGAGCTCTTCTGCAGTTCACTCTTTGGTCATTGTTTGAGACACATATGTCAATATGTCCTGAAGACCAATTTGGGTCGTAGACGGGCTCAAACACCTGCACAGTGTATAGCTGCTTACATTCGAGATTTGAGTGAATTATTTCATATTCTGAAGAAGTTCATTGACCATCATATTGGACATGATGTGGAAGATTATTGTATTTGTGATGCATGGCCCACAAATGACCGTAATGCGGTATATATGTTGGTGCCATCAAGAACAAATAGTGCAGATTTTATGGCTCAGACAGAGAGTGTAGTAAACGTTCTTCATGACTATTATACTTGCATACAACGCAATTGGGGAGCTGGTCGGTATACTGCTCCAAACGAATGTTTGTGGGCGATGACTTCTTCACCTTCCTTTGCCCCTGACAAAGCTGCGCCTTCACGGCTTTCGGACCTACCAAAGCCAAAGATGATCGAGCATACTCGGGATGCTAAAGAAAATGTTCCTTTTTGTAACACCAGTCCACTGTTTGTGTGGAATCATGCTGTCACTCCTTTGGGAAAGAAATCTTCGACAGAAATGTTATACCCAGTGGTCTAATGAGGCACCTATCCATTGATTGTGGATCCTCGAGATAAACGCACTTCTGGTAAGAACACACTGTATCCGATCTGATCAAATTCAACCTTTGAGGGCCATTGTACTTGTTCCAAACCCGGGACTTGTACAACCCACAAGGTAGGCCGCTATGCTTGAAAAACACATCTTCATATCAATTTGAATGATATGCATTGGTCCTTGGCCAACTACAAAGAAGAGGATTGGAAGCCAATTATCAATTTCATGAAGAAGTATCATGATCACATTTTGCCGAGCAAGACATTCAAGAAACTGACTCCAAGTACAACTTGGTGATGGGATCCACTGGTACCCAAAGGGGCCCAGCTTGTGGAGCACGACTCCAACCCAGTGGTATCAGACAGGGTAAAGATTACGGTCCCCCCAAGGTGTCAGTTTCACAAGATACCACCAGCTCGGATCAAAAACAGATGGCCTGGAGATTGGGACTGGCAATACCATCCAATTTGTCAGTTGCCACTTCAGATTGTGCCGTGTCTACCATGGGGAAAAGAGAAGAAATTCAATACTCCTACCAAGACGCTACATGCAAATATTCCTGGAAATGGACAAGTTATGCTTGGGGCTTTCTGTCGACAGTGGATAGATACAAGGTGATTCTTGCGTTGCCTCAGTGGCATCAATATGCCTCTCTTTGTTGAATTGCCTCTGTCAATTTGCTGGCTTGTTTGAAAGAACCACGTGTTCTACCAACAACAGGTTTTCCGACAAGGTTGGACCCTACACGGGACAAGCTCAATTCTGCGGGTCTTCTTTGTTTCGATTTTCTACATGGGGATTTCATTCGTTGCTTGGGTGGCGAATATGTCAATTCTGATTGAGATTTCAATGCAGAATGGGATGTCATTGACTCTACTTTGCACAACAAAGAGGTTCCGGCTGAATACCCACCACTCAAACTTGAAATGGCTTATCGCATCCAGACTGAAGGTGTTCCTATAAAAGCCTAATACACAACTCCTATGTCTTCTACGATCTTTAGAGAAGAATATGATAACCATCCAGCATTTGCTGCCAATTCTTCCAAAGTTGCGGAGAAGTTTGCAAAAGAAGAATGGAAGGCTTATCATCTTCACTATTTACGGTTTGTGTTCCAATTCATCCCAGGTCTGGTTATTAATCCTATCCAGTGGGTTTTTGACAAAGGTAAAGGTCGGATTTGCATTGACTGTTCCAATGGTCCTGACAACTTAGGATCAATCAACACCTATATCCCCAAACCAAAGCAAGATAAGTCCGGTGAGCAGTGCCCTCCAATCCACTACCAGTTTGCGTTCAAGAGGTTTCTATGTCAAGTTCTCTGTATGTGCATCACAAAACCAACAAGTCCTATTTTGGTTCATGCTGACGATATTGAAGCCGCCTTTCGACATGTGCTTTATCATCCAGATGTGGCTGTGGCATTTGCATAAGTATAGTCAGACTGTTAGAAGTAAGCGATCCAGTGCCGCCTGCAATCTACCTGTTTCAATTGACTGCGATTTAGCTGTCCAGGTATTGTTGCCTTCTAAGTATGTGAATTTACAGTATATCGAAGTATATAGATCAATCAAAGATCCTACTTTATCAACCAATTCACTCGTTGCTTGCAATATATTATAAAAAGTGAGAATAGTCTGTCAACTTTTGACTTTGACTCTTTCCTCTCCAGCTCAGTGGAAATTCTCAGAATTCTCTCTACGTCAGCCTGATATGCTGCAAATTCAATCTGTTTATCCGTTCACCTTCCACTGTAGTCGGTACTTTGATTAGTATCCAACTTTGGCTCTTGCTTGAATCTTGCTTTCTTACATCATCAACAGGATGATTTCCATAGAAATATAATCCGTTTTCTGACTCGCCACGCTCGATGTTTTTAGTCGCATCAGTCTTCATTTTTAGTCGTATCAGTC